TTCATAAACAGTTAAAGGGAGAACATAGTACAGTATATATTACTATGACTGTATTTCTTATGAGTACCCACATGCTTGCTATTTAGTTCAGTGCCAACTTTAAGCCAAGAAAACCAATACTTTTACTTTGCATCTGTTTATACTATAGAATGTACAATTGGACTTAAATAAATGCGAAATCTCTCTTAAAGCCCGTAGTGATAATTTACTTTATGGCATCCTCTAGGGTAGCGTGGAGGGAATATACCAGTGTGGGCATGTAGGAAGGTTTACAGTTGTGAGTATGTAAAATACAGAGTTTATTGTTGTATTATTATTTATTAATCATTATAGTATTACCCATATGAACAACTGTAAACCTACTTTTGCCCACCCTGTACACATGTGTGTAAGGCTCAGAAGATGATCTGGAGTAGGATAGCCCAGTTATATCTTATGTTCAAGTCCTGATCTTGCTGTTCACTAGCTGTGTGACCCTGGCACGTTATCTAACTCTTCTAAACCTATTTTCTCCAAGTTAAAATGTGGATAATAAGGATGTGAGCATAAAACAAGATGATATATCTGAAGTCCTAAGCATGGTGTTTGGCACACTGTAAGACCGTAGTAAATGGGAGTGATTTTGTATTGCTAGGAGTATTGACTTGTCCTTGAATGGGACAGACCTGAAATACTATGCAATTTGCTAAACAGAAGATGGGTCTTCTAATAAACAACAGAAACATGAGGTACCACAGAATGAGCCATATCGCAGAAATCGCAGTATTTGGGGCATGTTACTCTATATGTGTTCATTTCTCTCTGTCCCCTCGTCTTTCGTGAAGTCACATAAGCAGAGTAGTTAAGACTGTAGGCTCTGTAGAGCCCATGTGTTATCTCAGTCTCCTAGAATGAGCCGGATATTCCGGTTGTATCTTCCGTCCCTTCCAATACAATCAGCACCACTAGTGATAACACCTAACATGTATCGACACCTTCCTGGGTACCAAGCACTGTTCTAAACACTTTAAAGCTATTAGCCCCTTTAAATCTCCCAGCCGGGGAGGTGGCTATCATCATTGCCTCTATTTGTACAGATGAGAAAACTGAAGCACAGAGAGGTTAGTCACTTGCCCTGGGATGACTCTGTTGGTTAAGGTGGAGCTGGAATTCCATCCCAGGCAAGCTGGTTGCACAGTGAGCTCTCTTTACCACTTCCTCCTAATTCCACTGAGGCTACAAGATTGACTTTCGGTTGTCACTGCTTTTCTGTGATGGGGATAGCATCAGGACCCTTCCCCGGCAGTTCATCAGTGATCAGTCGTTTGTGTTGGGTGTCAGGGTTTCACATCCCACCTCCAACCACCATCCATTCAGGTAGGTTCATGAACATTTTGAAAAACAATGTGATCATATTCTCTTAACTATAAATATTAGTCATTAAAATACAATATTTGGCCCAGCTGGTATGGCTCAGTGGATTGAATGTTGTCCCATGGACTGAGAGGTCCCAGTTCTATTCCCAGTCAGGGCACATGCCCAGGTTTCAGATTTGATCCCCAGTAGGGGGCGTATAGGAGACAGCCAATCACTGTTTCTCTCTCACATCTATGTTTCTATCTCTCCCTTTCTCTCTCTCTAAAAAAAATCAATGAAAATGTATTTAGAAAACAAACAAATAAGATTTGAGTATTAGATCCTTCGGTGCTTATACACAAAGAAGGAAGAGTCATTTCTGTATTAAGATATCTCAGAAGTTCTCACACGCTTAGCAGGAAAATTAAATTAAGCCCAGCGCTGGGTAAAGTGCTATCTGCCTCAGTTACTGGAGTAAGTGTATAATAAATAGAACAGCTGGTATACATGGCCTTAATGGTATAGTTTCCTTTTTCCTATGTAATGTAAATCACCAATGTGAGCATTTCTGTCTGACATAAACTATCAGCCTCAGAAGAGCACATTGTAGGATTCAGCACATGTTAACTCAACAACCAAGACTGCCGTTTTCTTCAGCGTGGTGATGTGTTTTCTTTCCATATCCAGTGGTTAGTACTGAGGCCTGAAACCCTTAGTTACAGAACAAAGTGGCTTAGCAGTAATCAAGCCTGTGTGAGGCTAAGGGGAAGAATAATGAACGTTCCCTGCAAGCTTCCTGCCTTGATGCAGGTGCAGGAATCAGGGGGTCATGAATAATGCATGGTATGCAGATTAGATGGTGGTTTCTCCTACTGGGGTTTTGACTTTGCTACCTGCCTGGCTGCTATATGTGGCAGGAAGGTAGGCGATTGTGGAAAGTGTCACAATTTAAAGATTTTAAAGACTCGGTTTACAAAAACACTGCATATCCTTTTAAAGAAATAAAATTTGGGAGGTTGCTGAACTGTAAGCCTTTATGGTCTACTTTATCAAATAAAGTAAACTCCAGGTTATCAATGTACTCATTTGGGCAAAGCTTTCTTGTTTTACTGTTTTAAGAAATGTTATAATTTTTGAGTCTCTCACACATACACACAGAGACAGGAATTCCTGGAAGGCTGTTAAACTGTTACAGAAATTCTTTGCTTATAGTATTTGATGTATGGATGGATCAATGAAGTTTTGCTACAAGAGACAAATACCTAAAGAATATTGTAATTATAGGTTAAACAGGCCTAATTTTTTCCAATGATATATGCAATGTGAGCCATCAATAGGAGAATATATCTATTAGCAAACTTCAACTGGTGGAATTATCATGACGAATAGAAATACTAGGGCTATGGAGGAAGCAATAAAAGAGGTACGCATTTAAAGGCAGTAGAGTGAATTAAATAACTACTTGGGCTATTACTTTTTAAAACTTTATTTAGGACATATGACTCTGATACCCCAGTGGGAATGTAGGGGGCGGTTCAGGAGGATTTCCTGTATTTACCCTTATGACAGGGGCTTTAACTGGGGAGACATTTTTTTGGCCCACAGTTCCACTTTGATGACTGTATTTCAAGCAGACAGACTGAAAGAAAAAAAGAGAGTTTTGCAACCCTTTGTATAATTCTTATACATTTTTATTGCATGTTTTTTTCTCTCTCTCCTTAATTTGGGACACTGGACTAGGAACAGGCTTTCATTTCTGGCTGAGGCTGTCATTTCCGCTAGGCCCCAGTTTGGCCAGATGCCAAGACCAACAGGTGATCCTTGTAGCTGCAAAACAGCAGGAAGTGGGACTTGCTTGAATGAGACAGTTCACCAGAGGGGCTGTCTGGCCTCTCTCCATCTTTCTGCACAATTAGCATCCCCTCCCCCTTGCCGAGCAGAAAATCTGCGCTGAGCAGCTCAGCTGCAGCGGCCATTGAGAAGCGCTGTGAGGAAGAGAATGTTAATAAGGGATGTTGGAAGGAATCAGCCTTCCCAGTGCAAAGGGCGGTCTGCTCTGGATTTACTGAAAGACTGCAAGTTGGCCCTTCTGAGTGACTAGAACTTCATTATCTGTTTTGAAATGATTTTCACTTGCTGAACACCTTCGGAGAACTGTGGTTCTAATGAACCATGGAGCTTTGGGTTCTAACTGGACTTCAACAAGAGTTTAAAAGCTCTGTTTTCTTTCTTGTCTTATAAATAAGAGTAACGTCTGAGACATAAAGAATAAAGATAACACAAGCTGAAAGACGGCCGAGATCTCACAAATCCTAGTAAAGAGAGAACAATGCAGGAAGTTGGCCACAAGGAAGCAGGAAGTAGGCAGTCTTGTGTGTGGCCCACAAAGAGGTGAAGGTTCAGCAGCTAGCTTGTGATTGGATGATATCAGCAGTTCCTGGAAATTTAAACTATTTCCAGTGGATGACTCCAGCCCTAGAAGCTTATAAAACAGTATAGTCTTTACTTCTCTATTCTTCAGCTAAAGTTTTTAATAGACGTTTTCTTTCTCATAGCTCAAAGCTCTAGCGCATCACATCTAGAAGGTCTTCTTCCAAGAAAAATGTGCTCTTTCTTTCTCCTCATTCCAACAGATTCTGTTCCTGGACATTTGGACGAAATTATTGTAGGGGAGGGAAAAAGCTTTTCCGGATCTTCTCAGGTTCAGTGTCTGGGGGGTCCTACAAATTAAACTGACAAAAGACATTAGCAAGAGGAAAAACAATAGTTTATTTATGCATACATGTAGGAGTGCTCAGTGATAAGTAACTCAAAAAGGTCATTAGAATTTGGAGCGTATATACCATTTTAACAAAGGGTGATAAATTGTGGAGAAAGGAACTAGACAAAAGAAAAGGGGTCTGGGCTTTTAGGAGGTAAATTGTAAGAAGGTAACTAGGAAATATATGGGGAAAATAATGGTAAGTAAAGGTGTTTTATGCAGACTCATTCCAGTACCATCTCTGGTGATAAGAGTTATATGATGTACTACTCTTCCTGGTATGGGAGAGGGGAACACCTTTACAGGTGAAAATCTTCTTTCCAAAACATAAGTGTATGCCCTGCTCTTATGCCTTTAAAAAGAAAATAGAGAGCTCCTCTGGTGTCTGCTGTTTTCCAGGTACTTTTAGCTCAAAATAATCCTCATGCCAAAGTTGCATATTTGGGGAGGCATATCCTGATCCCCTTTATTATCTTGCTTTTTTTACGTCTAGAAGTTAACTAAGAAACAGGTAGCAGAAAGAGCTCATTAAGGGCGAGCACCATACTTTACATTATTTTCACCCACTCCTAAACTTCACACGGAATAGGTAGTCAGTAACTATTTGTTGGATTGAATGAATGAAATTGATTAAAACTGGCAGTTCTGCTTTTGAGGGTCTTCACAGGGAACATGTGACAAACCCTTGCGGTTACAAGTGGTACAGAAGGGAAAAGACAGACTACAGTTTTGCAGGCATAGGAACTCAACTACGTCCATTTACTAAGAGGTGATCAAGTTCTGGGGGATTCTATACTAAGCAAATCTAAAAGAGGTTGTTTATAAAGCAGCTTCCCTTTTATTTGTTCATTTGTAGTCAGGAAAATGCTTTTTCAATGACTGGATTACTCTCATCTACTTACAGGGTACATCCGTCCCCAGTATCAAGGGTCCGGGGAAATCGAATGAATAATCAGAAGTTTGCATGGTGAGTACACAGTCTAAGTCATAAGAATGTGTAAGTCTTGTGGGAAGTTTTCATAGGGCTGTGTTATAACAAATGAAAATCATTTCTGCTCCTCTGTTGAGCAGCGAGTTTCCACAGGTGCACCACGAGACCTTTTAAAACATGCAACACCGGGCTATTTCATCAGGGCACGGACCTCTTTTCCCTTACATTGTCAAATAAAAAAATTAAAAAATGACAACAGCCAACACAACAATAGCTGTCTGGTGTGAATGCATAAAAATTATACCTACTTTTTTGTGTCAGATAAGCAAAAATATATATATATTTTGGCCTGGCGAAGAATGTTAGTAATTAATGTGTGTGTGCCATGAGATGAAAAGGGTTGGAAATCCTGGCTGTAGAAAATGCATTCCTGCCCTGGCCGGTTTGGCTCAGCGGTTAGAGCGTCCGCCTGCGGTCCGGAGAGGCCCGGGTTCGGTTCCCGCTAAGGGCATGTACCTCGGTTGCAGTTTGTCCCCGGCCCTGGTTGGTCGTGCGGGTGGCAGCCACTCGATGTGTCCCTTTCACATCGATGTTTCCCTCTCTCTCTCTTCCTCTCTCTCCCTCCCACTCTGTCTGTACAAAAAATGGAAAAATGTCCTAGGATAGGATTAAAAAAAAATAAAATAAAAAAAAAAGAAAATGCATTCCTACCAACTGAACTACCTTGTCTCCCTTTCCTTTGGAAAATTCCTCTCCAGCCAAAGCTCTTCACTCACTAAAAGCTGAGTGTAACGTTTTTTTTCTTAACAGATACGGTGTATTTCCCAGGATTGTCAACTGTTACATTTTAAAAGAATCTTTCCTCTTTTTTTGAAAATACTGTACGTTTGTTTTAGTGAGATTTAGGCAACTATTTAAATTTTTCTCGGGTACTAACTTCCACTTCTCATGAAAACTTTCATAATAAAGGAATCTATTATATTAATTTTGATGATTTCTATTTAGATGTTTGTTTGTTTGTTTGTTTTGTTTGTTTGTTTTTTATGACTGAGCCTTAAATATCCAGGGAGACACAAACATCTTTTATCACTGACTAGCTTTTGAACAAAATTATATATGGAAATGACCTGAAAAGTTAACCCAACCATAAAACATGGATCATTCTATAAAGAAGCAATGTAAGATACTTTATAAATGTTTTATGTGAAACAAAAAATAAATAAATTAATGTAGGTTTAAAATCCATTTTGTTTACATTAACTACTCCATTACGCGAAATTAGCCTTTCTACACATAATATATCATCAAAAAAAAAAAAAAAAAAGGAAAAGACAAAAGGATTGAACTTGAACTGCGTACTGTTTACTTCAAAAGTGAACGGAAATTCACAGGTATCCATTTCTACTTCATTGAATTGTGCTTAGAATAGGATTTTGATTAAAAACCATTGCCTTTTTTTAAGTATTGGAAGATGATTACCAAAGATTGTGCTTCCAAATTAATTTTATTCCTAAATCAGGATTATTTTTAGACACAAAATAATGGTCCTTTGAATTTGAATAGTGCCTAATCAGCTCACCTCCCTTCCCCCTTAAATCTAATTAACCCTCACAATAGCTTGGTGATGTTGTTAAATATTATGCTTTCCTTTTTCTGCAGAGAGGGAAATGGAGCTCAGATGATACAGCTCTTTGCTGGCACACTGTCTAAAAGCTGGGGCGTCCCCCATGGTTTCTCACAATCACTAAAGCTTATTGTGGACCCGGAGAGCTGAGGGGAAAGGAATGCTGATGGCCATTACATACAGGAACAGGGGACACGGGTCTCCTCCTGGCTGCACCAATTGATATTCCTTCCAGGACAAATCATATTGCACTAAAGAAACTGTTACATACAGAGACTCTGAGATGCTCAAGTGAGCCCCCTCCGTTCACGGGGAGTACAGCAACGGCAGTTATGAGATCCAGTTTCTACAACGTATTTTTCAGTGGCTAGATGTGGAACAGAGGAAATACCAAATAGTCTTTTCTTTACTTTTTCTTTCTGATGTAGTAGAGTAACAGTAACTCATTCCTACATAATTTATAGCATATTATTTGGTTAGTAAGTTCAAACCGCTTTTATCTCCTGAGAAGTGATCCATGAAAAACAAAAAAGATTTTTACTGCTAGCCTTGAGAAAATTCAACTTTTATTTATTCAGCAATATTTATTTATTGTCTCTGGCTGTGTGAAAAGCACTAGATTAGAAAGATAAATAAAACGTGGTTTCTGGTCTCAAGGGGTTGTCTTGTAGGGTATGTGTGTGTGTGTGTGTGTGTGTGTGTGTGATGTCACACGTATATAATATATAATGTTATATGATGTCGTACAAATAGCATATATATAATAAAATGTGTATAATGCTGTAAGGAGATATATTTGCAGTGGGACAATGTTATCATTGTTCAGAGGGAGATGTTATGAACTCTATTTAAGACCAATCTGAGAGCAGGTAGTAAGCAGAAGAAGTAGAGAGGAAGGAAGAGGACTCAGAAAACCTATCAGGTTTTTGAGCAAAGGCCCAGAATTAGCAGGAAAAGCAGAGGGTTGAGGTAGTGCTTTCTTTATAGATTGAAACACGTCTACAGGGGCCTGGAGACACTTCTAAATGAACTAGAATAGGAGCATACGTGGATTTATTACATGTGCTTTATTTGGTCATGAGTGAGTTAGAATTCCTATTGGAAGTACTACCTTGCATTTTCCTTAAGTAGATACTGCGAGGCTGGTGTATGGAAATAAATCCCCTGGCTGGGAGTAAGCCCAGTGAATCGCCCAGCATCCACATCTGGTTAAGTGATAAACACTATTTCTTTGTGAAATACTGGCTCTGAAAATCCAGGAAGTTTAAATACTCATGCTCACGATGGAGATGAAGGGGCAGTGATTCTTGCTCTCCCCAAAACAGAAGTGTGGGGTAATTTGTAGAATTAGATGGGGATTCAGTACTAGCTGGACTCGAGATGGAGTTGGATCTGCAAACACGGTACGGGAGTGATGTTAGGTGATTTTGTGAAGTCACGTTAGCAAATGCTTCATTCGGGAAAAAAAAAAAAATGTTGTCTCTCACATAAGCAATTAAACCTCAATAAAAGATGAAAAGGCTGGAATGTCTCAGTTATGGATAGAAAATGCATGGCAATTGGTAGGCTGTAAATATCCGTGGCTGTGGTGGAGCTATCAAGCCGGTGTTTATCATTGAATGAAGATGGTTTAAAAATGTGAGTGGTGCCTTTCTTTGCATAATGTTAAGATGAGAGGGCACCTCCACTGGGCTCATTCCTGGGGCATTCCCTCTGCAGACGAAGAAATGAATTTCTATGCAAGACTGAAAACCTGCAGGAATGGAAAGAAAAGGTGGTAACAGTGCAGGCCTCCAGGGAAACGATGGAAGCACAGGACGTTAGAGGTCCGATGGCAGGTGTTAGGATGGAGCCAGTCTGCTGTGACTATGTGCTAACTCCCAGGGACTAAAGACGGGCAATTAGAACTTCGGTCAGGAGATATTAGCACCCCAATAAAGAACACGAGACAAACCCTAGTGGGTTTGGCTCAGTGGGGTAGAGCGTCAGCCTGTGGATCAATGAGTCTCGTGTTCAATCCCAGTCAAGGGCATGTTCCTAGGTTGCTGTTCATCCCTGGTCGTGCGGAAGGCAGCCAGTTGATGTGTCTTTCACATCGATGTTTTTTTCTCTCTCTCCCTTTCTATCTGAGATGAATGGGAAAATATCCTCAGGTGAGAATTAAAAATAATAAAGTAAACAAACCAAAAAACCCAAGATCATTGTACAACTACAGTTAATCAAAGGTAGCAATCCAACCCTGGCCAGTTGGGTTCAGTGGTTAGAGCATGCGGCAGACCGAAGGGTCGAGAATTTGGTTCCAGTCAAGGGCATATACCTGAATTGCAGTTTCCATCCCCAGCCCTGGTCAGGATTGTGCAGGAGGCAGCCAGTTGATGTGTCTCTCTCACATCGATGTCTGTCTGTTTGTCTTACTCTCTCTCTCTCTCTCCCTCCCTCCCTCCCTTCCTTCCTTACACTCTCTCTAAAAGATCAATGGAAAAATATCCTTGGGTGAGGATTAACTACAACAATGACAAAAGGTAGCAACCCAGGCCAGACATAAACTCTCCATGGAAATGGCTTCCCCTTGCAGCCACCTCACTGTAGTTATATTTGTTGATTTGAGGATTGATAAAACCTTTGAAGTCCAGCTTATGAATTTCTGTCTTTATTTCATGAGTCATATCTCTCCTCTTTCCTTTGCTGTTGGTCCTAAGAGGTGATCACACCTTCCTTTGTCTGAACTATATAAACCTTTTTCTAGAGCCGTTGCATTCTTTCTTGCATGTGATAATGCCAGGAAAATATGTTGCTCGGTTTGGGGAAAATTGGGGGAAATGGGCCAAACATCATTAGAGAGTTGAAAGTGCAGATAGACTTTTGTTCTTTACAGATCTTTATGCATGAGGCTATTATATTCTGATATCAAAGCCATAGAAAGTGGCTGTTTCCAAGTCATCTTTTAGCTGTTTTATTCCCAAAGATCAAATAAAAATATGGCCCCCGTGTGTGGTTGGAGTAAGACAGGGAGGTGCTTGGTGGGGAGCATTTCTGAACTGAACACTGAAGTTGATTTAAGGCCCCAAAACTTTCTAGGATTAGTGTGAGTATTCTGAAGACATGCATATTAGTATATGCTCATCTTTAGCTTTTTACCCTTTCTCCTCTCCTCTCCACTTCTCTCTTCACCCTGCTCCATTTCTGAAATTTTAAAGGACGTGGGCACATATTATTTTTTGATGATGGAGGTAATAGTGGTTTCACTGTACACTCAGAACACCCATCTAATGCTGCTATAGAAACTTTATGGGCTATTTATATGATGACATAGAAATAAAGTATTATTGCCCTGGCCAGCTTTGCTCAGTGGTTAGAGCATCAATCCATGCACCAAAGGGTTGCAGGTTCAATTATCCACCAAGGGCACATA